TTCAGGTAATTTTTGGTTAATTTTGTATAGAATTTTTATTTCTAGCTTCAATTTTACCTGATTTTTTTTCTACTGTAGCGCCTGATTTTTGTATACTTATTTTTTGGGTGAAGGATGCCTGAAAAAATGTGTAGAATGTCGGATAAAGAAAAGAGTAGAATTGCTGAAAAAAGTAAGTTATATTTCCTCTTGCTGTCATTGTTGTGATTGTTTCATTACTTTGTTATGTCAAATTTATTCCCATATTTTTTTTTGAAGTTTTTTGTTTGATTTTGTTTCAGTGTCTGAATTCATATTGTTAATGGGGTACAATGCTGATTTTCAAGTTGTTATTGCGAAGGAACTTGGTCGGCATATATGGATGAGTTCAGAAAATCTAGGTAGAAAACAATGTAGAGAGCTTTTGTATCTTTTGTACATGGCTGATAGCGCGACATTGTTATCCTATACGGTTTCCTTGGGGAAGATTATTTGGTGTAATCATTTGAAGGCCAAAAGAAGGGCCCTCAAAAGGAAGCTTTTGGAGAAGATAAAACAGCGGGAACTCGGAAGAGAGAAGAGGAAGATGAAAGGAAGGGTGAGGTTAGTGGTAATGGTGAACAGGGGAGGGAAGAAAGGGAAAGCAGGCCCAGGATTGTGGGCTAGGATAGGATTTCACTTGAGGCCTAAATTTGTGTATAGGAATGCAAGGCGTAGGGTTGTAAAGCGCAATGTAGCGGTTGGTAGTCGGGTATACAGGCTTGCTCTTGCTATGGGTTTTCTGTCATTCCGTAATCTTTGTGTCACATCCGAGTGGGAATTTTGGGCTGTCTGCCTTGTTCAGCAAGTCTTTGGCTTTTGGAGGAGTATTGCAATTGGAGGAGGGTTGAGTAGTTCTTATACAAGTGTTGCTCATGAGTTTGGGTTGGATGTGGTTCCATGTGATGTTTTTGAGCGCCTTCAGAGCTGTTTTCGATGTTCTTCTACTACTCGCTATCCAGGTAATCAACTCTTAACAGATTTTGTAGATATATGTACTGATATTGTCAGATGCATCTATATTACGGTGCTCTTGGACCCTTTTCATTGTTCTGGAATTTGTATGATGGCTTACATAGGTTCATTTTGAAGTGGCTGTGTAGTGTTCTAACTCTTCTAAGCTGCATCTGTTATTTACCAAACAATTCATGCATTGACCGTATATCTCGACTGTTAGGAACTGTATTTGAAATTTTGTGTGGTCTGATGCCACCTGCTTTGTTGTTTACTGTCATATGTTCTGTGAATCAAGCGTGCTTGCTTATGGTACTTGTTGGCCTTTTCTGTGTCTACTTTGCGAATGAATGGATATGACTTCAAACTATCCAGTGGAACGTCCTTCAGTCCTTGTTCCAAATCTTTTTTTTCATGGGAATTAGTATAAATGACTTTGTGTTATCAAATTTGATTTTTATGGTATGAACTTGTAGAATATAATTAATCCCCAGAGTCTTTTGTGTTAAGTTCATGGGGAATTTTTTGGAAATCACTTATGTTTAATTACCACAACACAACAAAAGTTGTGGTAAGTTCTTAGCCTGTTCCTGCTTTAGAGATGGCAGTTGACTCTTTCTTCGCATGTCAATATTAGAACAGCGTTCATAAATCCAGCTTTACTACCTTGGAATTACTTCTTGTTTTATGCTTTTGAAACATACCCAGCCCTTTTCAGATTGTTTGTAGTGAATAATGGAATTGACATTGCTGGCATTCTGAAAGATATTTTGTGGGCGTAGGCATTGTCCAAGTCTTGACTAATCAAATCATATGATAGGTATACATATATTAGATTTTTTATTTTATTTTTTTTGGTATGAAAAAGCATCTTATGCACAACCAACATTTCATCTATTTTTATGGATGATGGTGGATAAATTGAAAATGCTTTAGCCAGGACTAAATTGTGGATAGACTGTTTAATTTTGGGATGAGACCTGTGGTTCATAGGATTTGAATTTTGGCTCATTTGAGAAACCATATCTTAACCATTACTGTTGCTCAGAAATACTAGTTCTTCTGAGAGTTCAACAATCTCCATAATATCTCAAGTTAGTTAAGATAAGGCTTCAAAAAGGGATTTTCAAAAGCTTTTCCTAACTCAGTGCTAAGCAGTAGTTTCCTGTTTCCTTTTACAGTGATTCGTGTATTTTGGATTTTCTACTTCCTAACTCTATCCAAATGAGTATGTAGCATTGGAATTAGTAAATCATTTTCTTAACTTGTTCACTTTAAATCATGAATCAGTTGATAGTTAGTTCTGATAAGTTGATGACATCGCCGATTTGTCGCTGTAGTTCACAAATCTCATGTAGCCTTCAGTTGGTAGTTAGTTTCTCTGTCAGTTGTCAAGATTAGCAGCCCATTGATAATTTGAGTCTTACTGTAGCAGCAAATGAACTCTGGATTTCCGTTTTGTTACTTTGGTTTCAGTGACACATGATAAGGATTGATGTATCCATTAGTTTTTTGAACCACAATTAATAACCACTTTTCTTGAAGACCCCTTTTCCTAAGAGTGACAAAGGGGGTGGGGGGTCATGATCCGTGAACCAATTTTCTTCTAATTGTCAATTCCCAATACTACTTATTGTCTTGCTGCCTTTTTTCTCCAAGATATATTCCAATTGCTAACTGTAATTATGCTGAATGCTGCAAACTTCTAATACTACCTCTGATTTTTTTAGTTGCAACTTTGGGGTAGACCTGACAAATGGGTCATTCGGGTCAACTTCGGGTCAGGATTCGGGTCCAATTCGGGTCGGGTATGTTCGGATGGGGTCGATTTCGGGTCAAGTATGTTAGGTCATATTCGGGTCAGGTCAAAATCTGGTCGGGTCATGTTCGGGTTGTTTCATTTGTGAATCAAACTCAAATCAATAATTTTATACGCAGTATATATTTTGTTATTGTTATAACAACACTACCAATTCAGTTTATGAGCTTATTTACGATTAAAGATGAACAATTTGGGTTATTTTTGGCAAGACATTTTAAGTTCAATTATAAGGTAATTTTAGTTTAGGACATTTCGGGTATCAGGTTTATTCGGGTCAATTTCGAGTATCAGGTCTATTCGGGTCAAACAATTTTGGTCAATTTCGGGTCGAGTCAACTTCGGGTCGGGTCAACTTCGGGTGTCAGGTTAGGATCGGTTCAACTCCATTTTTGGGTCGGGTATGGGTTGGGTCGGGTTAATTTCGGGTTCTGGGTCATTTCGGGTCAATGTTTTTGGGTCAATTTCGGGTCACGGGTCGGGTCATCGGGTCTGGGTCAGGATTGCCAGGTCTACTTTGGGGTATTATTTGTGAGATAAAATCGGAGGTAATATTTTTTTTTGATGTTCAGCATTGTCTTCAAAACTGAATTATAAGTGTCACCTGCAGGTCACTTGTCTTTTTCTGCTCTGTATTCTGAACCTCTGATGTCACCTAGTTCTCTCGCTGATGCTTCTACATTTTATTTAGAGCCAAGCTTGCTTGGTCCTGTTTCATGTCATTTCACTCTATCATTGGCTCATGGCTTTTTATGTAGTTATGATACAGAGTTGTTTCATGTACTTTGCTTTGGCAGTTTTTCCCTACCCTAACCTATATTCTTTCGTTGCGTTATCAGCTATTTTTTTCGTGGACAAATTTATTGGACTCACTTGCAAAGAATATGTAAATCTTACTAGTTCACTTGGACATAAATAGATTAATTAGAATTCCACCGTCTCTCTCTCTCTCTCTCTCTCTCTCTTTGTGGTTGGTTGTGTGTAATTGCTCAATTGTTGTATTTTTGTACGATTGTGCACTTTTCCATATGGAAGGGTGCATATTCTTTGCTGTGAAAATCTTTTTAATTGATGTTAATTTTGTTAGCTGGAAATTTTATATTAATACGAAGTGTGATATAATATGACTATTAAACATTGGCCGTGAGCAAATTGTGATTTAGTTATCATGTAGCTCAATCATCTCGAAGGCCTGTCTGCCTTCATTCTATTTTTCTTCCTTTAATGAAGATGATCTTGTTTAAATGCAGGGTATGGAAGAGAATTTCCATAGGGCTGGAGATATGAGCTTGTGAAGGTTTTCACTGACGTGGATGTAAAGGGGCTCCTACTGGGATGCATTAGTCATGTTTGTGTCTGATCTGACTGGATAACTGAAGAAAGAGTTTCCTGCTTTTCATATTGAGGATGCGGCATTTTAATGGCATAACTAATGTAGGTACTGGAGAAACCCTGCGCTTTGTTGGTTAGGATTAACTAATGTAAATATGATACACAAGAATGAAGAACATGAGATTGAGATGGAAGAGCTTAGATGTGAAATTGTAAACATAATCTTACTTTTCTGTCCGAATTGATACATACTGTATGAAATGCAAAGCCTGTATTAAATGTGTTCAGCTGGATGAAGATTTAGTTACTTTGGTAGGTACCGCCTTTCGGTGGGAAAGTGAAATGCTGTCCTGAATCTTATGTAGGTCATTTTTGGTGCCCTTTATTTTTGTGTTGGTGAGAGAGTTCTTCTCAGGTCTTTTCCCAGGTTAGTCACTTGTATGTTTACTGCAAGGGACGGGTCACATATTTTTCCATGTCAAACATGCATTGTCTATATAATATGGTCTAATTGAGATGGAATTTCCTTTCTGAATGTTGAAACTTGTAGATTTTCGGTTGATAGTTTTAGAATAAAAAATACTCCGTAAAGTCGTAGGCATAAATACGCGAAATACTGAGTTTTTCAAGAATTGCATCTATGGAGCATGGAGGGATGAGTCTTGTAATTTTTTTTCTTTTCGTACAGTAGGAGACTCACTTGAGGGGGGAGAAGAAAAATCACTTGAAGGAGCCGAGTTATGTGATTACTGGGTCAGGCTGTTTTTTCATTATAACTTACGACTGTCTCATTTTCGTAGTTTTTGGTTGGTTTTCCATGTCACTTGAAAATCCAACATGTTAACTTCTCTCATCCATAAACATCAAATCTTTTAGATAAGACGATAAGCCCACGTTGCACAGGAACTCACACACTTATGTCTTTTCCCCATTAATTATCTTCTTTCCTTCTCTTTCTCTCTCTTCTCCTTTCCTCCATATACTAGAGCTAAACCATGGCAGCTTCTACTTTGATCACCCCAACTTCCAAGCTGAAACCCCTTTCCCCAACGCCAATCAAGTCCAAGCTCGTCACTGCCACCATGACCTCGGTTGCCCCATCAACGTCCGCCTCGGCCTCTGCTCCCACTATCCTAACCCGGCGACAACTCACCATTACTGCAGTCACTGCTGCCATTCTCTCTCCTCTAATCTCACCCTCTGCGCAAGCCGCTGAAGACGAGGAATATGTGAAGGAGACCCAAGAGGTGATCAGCAAGGTTCGGACTACGCTGACTAAGGATAAAACTGACCCTGATGTGGCTGATGCTGTAGCAGACCTCAGAGCCACTTCCAACTTCTGGGTGGCTAAGTATAGGAAAGAGAAATCCCTTCTAGGCCGGCCATCATTCCGGGATATGTATTCCGCCCTCAATGCCGTCTCCGGCCATTACATTAGTTTTGGCCCTACTTCTCCAATACCTGCAAAGAGAAGAGCTAGAATCTTGGAGGAGATGGACAGTGCAGAGAAGGCTCTACTAAGAGGAAGATGAGCTTCTTTTTCTTTTTCTTTTATCCACCTCCCTTTTGTCCTTTATTTGTATTCATAATTTTACCATAATCTATGTACCGGAAATCTATGTTTGAGGTTAAGGTGAGATGTGAATTGTTACAAGTAATATATGGATTCTTGCAATCGACCTTATTCGTAGCACAACATTGTTAACTCTCAGGCCAAGGGTAACCAGCTTCCCATGTGGACTAGTGGTAAGAGAATAAAACCTCTGAAGTCTATGTCTAGGGGTTCAAGCATTGGTACCACCTCTCTTTCTCTCCTCTCTCTAAAAAACCTAGCCAAGGGTAACACATAATTCACTTAGTAGTCTATTGGTTATACTTTTTAAACATGATCTATGTCCATAACTCGCTCTATCGCGTACAGACGGACTTTGGAGAGAAATTGTTAGGATGCATATTGTCAATGTTTCTGTTCCTCATGCCTTCATTTTCACTTCCACCATGGCTCGAACGTCTATGAATTCGTTTATATCTCACAATTGTCGTAAATATGTTACCCCAATTACTCTTGGTATAATTGAAAATTTGCTACTCTTAAGAGTCATTACTCTATACAATAATAGATGAGATTATATATTGAGTAGACTGATGTTGAAGTATAGTACACAGAGGAAAGGTAGTTGACCATTGCATTTTAGCCCGATCAAGCGCGGGTACAAGTGCTTTTTGATATGTTTGCCCAGTCGGGCACGAGTATAAAGTTGATGCCTGACCTAGTAGATGCTCGCCCGGTCGAGCTCGCATGTAAGTTGAGATTACGTATCACTTTTTTTTAGTCGGAAACCCAATTGGGCATAGGGGTGAAACTAATTCGGTTTAAAACCAAATCAAACCGAAAACCTTACCAAATTAGAAATATGGTTTGATTTTTTTCCTTAAGTGGTTCGGTGCGGTTTGCAAAACCAAGAATCTAAAATATTATGGTTCGGTTTCGGTTTGAGGAATTGAAAAATCGAAAAATTGAAACCGAACCAAATTTTCGGCCCCAACCCCAAATAACCCTAAGCCCAACTCTAGTTCTAGCCAAAGTATACAAAGCCAAAAAAAAAAAAAAGGAAAATTCTATGATATAACCCGCAACTTTTAGAAATTCTACGCTGTGCCCTTACTTTTTTAAACTTCTATATAGTAACCCGCAAGTTCATTTAGTGACTATATAGTAACCTTGCCGTTATCTCACTGTTAATAAATTCCGTTAGTGGGGCTCACTCTCCAATTTTTAATATTTTTTTATTGATTTTTGCTCATTGTAAAATGTTCCGTTTAAGGTTGTGAGGCTATTTTGGCTTTAAAGGGTCCAAATTGAGCTTAGATTTGGCAAATATGAAACGTAAATACCTTGTTTTGCGTATTAAGAAATGTCTCGACTTGTGTGTTTACATTTTAATATGTAAAACGAGTTATTTACGTTTGTTTTTTTTGGCAAATCTAAGCTCAATTTGGACCCTTTAGAACCAAAATAGCCCCCAAAACCTTTAACGGACATTTTACAACGCGTAAAAATCAATAAAAAATATTAAAAATTGGAGAATGAGCCCCACTAACGGAATTTATTAACGGTGAGATAACGACAAGGTTACTATATAGACACTAAATGAATTTGTGGGTTACGATATAAAAGTTTTAAAAAGTAAGGGCACATCGTAGAATTTCTAAAAGTAGCGGGTTATATTGTAGAATTTCCCAAAAATAAAAAAAACTTAATCCATCTTTCTCCTCTCATTCTCTCTGACTCTCAATCTCTCATAGACTCAAACTCCACTCAGTTCCTCACTCCACCGGCAACCGTCCACTGACCAAACTCCAAAGGTATGCTACTAATAATCTTTATAACTGCGATTCAATTGCAATTTTGCCTATTTGCTAAGCTCAATTGTTCAATTCGCCTATTAATCTATGTATGTTACTGCTTTGTCTGCTTTGCTGAGTTGCTGTATTGATTTTTTATTTTATTTTTATTTTTTTATTTATTATTATTTTTTTTAATATGTCCTAAACCAATGGCAACCAATGTGGAAGGTTAACCGAACACAAATTCAATGCGGTTTGGTTTGGTTTATTTTTATTTTTTTAAGAAAACTAAAATCTAAAGTGGTTTGATTTTGTTCGGCTTCAAAGACAAAATGGTACGGTGTGGTTTACAAAATCCAAAAACCGAAATTTTGTGGTTCGGTTTCGGTTTGGGCAATAAACCAAACAGAAAACCGAACTTTCACTCCTAATTGGGCGCGGATGCGCGTCAGCAGACCAATAACTCTTTCTCTTCCTCTTCCTTTGTACCCCCTCTTAACACCCATAATTAATGGGGTGTTTAAGAGGTTTTTAACCCCCCCCCCCCCCTTTACTCTGTGTCTATTCATTTTGGCCTCCTTTAACCTCTTGAATTTCCATGGTTGTTCTATAAATTCCATGAAAAGTAATTAGATTTTACACACAATAAAAATTAGCTAAACACATCTGGTCTTTGAGTTTACTTTAACTTCACTTTTTACTTTGACCTTAACTCTACCTTTTAATTTTAAGTATCTTATTGTAAGAGTGATGTGTAACCTTATGGAACAATCCGGCGATTATAATTGTTTACCCCGGTTGCACCCGAATTCATTTTCAAAGGCAGTGATATGTCACGCTGTAGACACCTAATTGTGTCTCCCCAAAAACCAAACCCAATGATGAATATCTTTCACGTCATTGATTATCGAACAAAGTGAAATGTGAAAGAGACTTGTGAATGTTTCTGTTTTAAAAAAAAAAAAATATATATATTTTTTTTTCCCGAAAATCTTTCTTTTTGTACCCTATTTATGAAAAACATCCAATCCAGTTTATTTTGGTCCATGATAAGGGTCCAATAATGGTGTAGTTATATGGGGCTTGAAAAGACCTTTCCAACGATATATTTTAAGCCCAATTTTGATGGATAATGGATAATGGTGTAGTTAGGACCTAATGATCATGTGGAGGGTCCAAAGGTTTAATCCCATTCCTAAACTAATTAGGATTAATTAGAATCTTCTATAAATTATTAAGAGTCTCGCTCTGGAGAATAGGTTTTTCTCGCGGCGGTCAGAGTGGTTTTCTCTTGCGCGTTCAAGCTTGACTACCCTGTTTCTGGGGGTCTGATTTGCGGTGTGATGGCGGATGACATTGTGGAGAGGTGGGCGAATTTGAAGATCACGACAGAGGCGGACAAAATTGCGGAATTGGGGACTTCTGAGTCGGGTTCCCAAGAGAGCAAGATTGCCCTTTCGGTGGTCGAGAAAATTCTTACGGTGAGTTCGTATAACTTTGATGCTATGCAAAGAACATTGAAACAAATCTGGGCCTTAAAACGTGATGTACTTTTTCGTAAGATCGAAAATAACCTATTTATAATCCAATTTTTCCATTGGCGTGACAAGGAGAAAGTTCTTGACGGAGCGCCGTGGAATTTTGATAACCAATTGTTGTTGCTTAAGGAGATTTGCGGTAATGAACAACCGGAATCAATTGATTTAAAATTATGTCCTTTTTGGGTATGGTTTTATAATTTGCCTCTTGATAGTAGATCGAATGCTGATGTTCGAGTGATAGCGGAAAAAATTAGGGATTGTTATTGAGGTTGAGAATGGTGATTTGGGTTGGGATAAATCTCGTCGTGTACGGATTATGATTGATACTTCGAAACCTTTGCGTAGAGTGCAAAAAGTAAGAAACAAACAGGGGAATGTGACTATCGTTCAACTAAAATATGAAATATTGTCTACCTTCTATTTCATGTGCGGGGTTATTGGCCATACGGAGCGTGATTGTCCTAATGTTGAGGAGGATGATGAGTCTTTGGAGAAACAATGGGGTCTTTGGCTTCAAGCGTCTCCTCGCAAAGGCCGTGCGAAGTTAATTGAAGAGATTGCTAGTCTTCAATCTGCTGCAAAGAAGGAGCTGATTTTTACTCACAGACCTACTGCCGTGCATCGCAAGGTGAAGGAGGGGGGTGAGAAGGGAGGGGGTGGGAGTAAGGGGAGTGGTGGTTCAGCTGATAATTCAGTCTTGTGCTTGGAGAGTGGAGGTGGAGTGCTGCAAAAGGGGGTGACGGAGAGTGAAAATGGGCAGGTGTGTGAGGAAGGGGGTGGTACTAATATGGGGAAGGATGGCGTTCCCCCTTTATCAACAAAGGAGGGAAGTCATGATGGTTTGATTTTTATGGCAGGGGAGGGGGAGAAGGCAGGGAAGGCTGTAGGGAGGGGCCCGAAGAAGTTTAAGAGGGTTGGGCATGTGAAGGGGAGTGGGGAAGTGTGTAGGATGGATTTTGAGGGAGAGGTCCTTCTTGGTAAGCGAAATAGGGAAGGTGATGGCAGTATGATGGAGGTGGAGTCTAATGCAAAAAAGATTATGCTTGATGGTGATGGTGGTTGGCGAGTGGCGGAGGTAGAGGAGGAGCTACCCCGCCAAGCCCAATGAGTATTCTTAGTATTAACTGCAGAGGTCTGGGCAATACCGATGCCGTTAATAACCTCCGGAATTTAGTCTCGAGGGAGGCCCCGTCTCTTATTTTCTTGATGGAGACGAAATTGAGTAGTGGTGAGATGGTGAAGATGCATTCGAAACTAGTTGGGTATGAGGGTTTGGCGGTTGATAGCCGGGGGAGGTCGGGTGGTGTGGCTATGCTTTGGGCTAAGGGGATTGAGGTGGTGCTTCGGTCTATGTCGATACACCACATCGATGTTTTGATTATGAAGGGGTTGGGTCCGGTGGTTTGGCGGCTAACAGGGTTCTATGGGTGGCTGGAAGTACAAAATCGTCACCTTTCGTGGAAGTTGTTGTCTGATCTAGCTTTGGAGTGTGATAATCCGTGGGTGTGTATTGGGGATTTTAATGAAATCCTCTCTGATTCGGAGAAAAAAGGGGGTAGAGATAGAGCTTTGTGGCAAATGGACAATTTCAAGGAGGTGGTGGATTTGTGCAATTTGAGAGATGTGCCTTTTTCGGGGTACGAGTTTACTTATGATAATGGTCAAAGTGGGGACGATAATATCCAATGTCATCTTGATCGTGCTCTTGCCTCTCAAGAGTGGTTTGATATTTTTCCTAGTGCTAAATTAATTAATTTGGAGCGTGAGTTGTCTGATCATGCACCAATTAAGTTGAACTTGGAGG